GGTGGGTGGAGTCAGTGGGAGGTGCTCAGCTCAGGACAGACAGACCAATGTCCAGAGCTTTGGAAAAGTTATTGTGAAGAGCAGTGGTGCTGAACCTAAGTGCATATTAAAGGAAGAGCCAATGCATTCACATACAACTTAAATCAAACTATTTGTGTAAAGACAGAAATGCACATTCATTTTATTCATTTAAGCTGCTGAGGACCATTGTAGGAACTGGCGAAACAGTACGGAGTCAATGAACAAACAAACGAAAAGCTGGTGTTTTGAACCAGTGGGCTTATTGCCATAGTACATGTTTGATATAGTTATATTCAATTTAGGGCAACATAAAATAAAGCATTAAAAGACAGAAAAATATACCACAAAAGAGGGGAGACAACAGCAGGGGTGAAGAATAGGAGAGGGACAGGAAGAGGGAGAGACAGAGAACAATAGACATCAAGATTAAACAGAGTGAAATATCATACATTCTAGGAAAAATAGCTGTTGTCATAGCAAGTACTTCTTTTCATATTCAAGGTTTGTGACATTATTGTTAGTTTAACATGGAAGCCAATGACACGCTTAATAGTGATATTTATATATATATATATATAATGATTACATGTGTGCATATAAACATATATGTATATGTATGAGTTAATTTATATAATTTAGATACATATTGATTACGGTGTGGATTGGAGTTTATGGGAGCATAATTATAAAAAGAACCCAAAAGAGTCTGGGTGTCATTTTCTACTCTGAAAATTCTTTATAGACTCAATATATTTTCTATTTTAATCTGTCCCCTATAATCAATATTTTTATAGATATAACTGAGATGAAATGAACCTTGTCTAAAATGTTTAATATGATACAACATGAAATAATAATATACCAATGAAATGATCATTGAGATTAAAATAATGAACATTGGAATTAAGACACTGAATGTATCTATAAGTTAAATTTTTTCTAAAGTTGCTGTGTAATCTTTCAGCATTTTCCTCTCTGGACAGTAGACACCCATTCCAACTGTGAACAAGTTACAGTTTCTATGATTTTGTATGACTGAGTGTGAACAGCCTGTATCTCTGACATTTCAGTTTGAGCAATTATTTTGAAACTCATCTACTTTATTGATACTTCACTAATTAATATCTCTTTAGTACTGAATAATGTTACATTGTAAGCTATACCATAATTTTCCCATTGACCTGTTTATGGGTGTTTGGCTAATTTATATTGACGATTACAAATAAAGGTGTCTTGTGGACTTGCATACAAAGTAAAATCACCTTTTCATTAAAGCAGAGGAAGTGCCTAGAAATGGGGATGACTCTGTCATAAAGTAGGTACATTCCTATCTCTCTATGAAACTTTTTAAAGTGATAGGTAATATTTATTAAAAATATATTAGGATGTTTGAGAATCATTGCTCTATATTTTTGCCATAGCATACTTAACGTTGACTTTTAGCTATGTTATTAGAAACGCTCGAACCTCATGATAGTTTATTTGAAATTCCCTTATATCTTGTGGATACTTTTTAATCATTCCAAGTTCTTCAGAGATTTTGTTCTCAGAATAGAATTTATTCAAAATCATCGTCTCAAAATTTGGTTGCTTGTTTTCTTAAGTTAGGAGAGTGGCTTATATTTCATGTTGAGTGCTTATTTTCCTAGAATTTTCCCAGACTGTGCTTTTCTATTCATTTTGATAATGACATCATTGCAAAGCAAACACTGTAGTGTGGCTGAATCTATATTATTGATTTGCCAACATTGTTGAGTTTGTATATTTTAGGCTCTAACTTTTCCAAACCCACAATATTATGATCTTTTTCTCAAATGTTTTCTTCTAATTTCATAGTTTGAAAATTTTTGCATTCATGTCTATTAGTTTAAAATTTTCATAGTTACAGCACTTTAATGTTTATTTCTGTGTAAAATGTAAAATTGTGGTCAATAGTCACCTCTGGAACACGACTCTGCTATTCTAACAATGCAGTCTTAATTTTTTATTATGGAAATATTTTCATACTTCTGTAATGATTCAACACATACTTCTGGTTCTCTTATATGTTCCATTTTTCTTTCTCTAGAATTTGGCATTTCTTTGACTGGTATAGCTCTCCTAAAACAGTCAGTCAGAAGATTTTACAATCTTCTGACTTTTTCCTGACTTCAGAAAGAATATTGTATTCACTCTTGATCTTTCATATTTCCATTAAAAATTTAAAGACCAACTTTTCAGTTTCTATAACAACAAAATGTCTCCAAGGAGTTTAGTTTTTGAGACAGTATCACCCTTAATAGCCCAGTATAGCCTCAAATAAAGTTCATTTCTCAACCTCAAGAGTGCTGTAAATACAGGTGTGTGCTAACAAACACAGCAGTTTCTACAGCATTGTACTATCCCATGTTGGGAACATGCCTGGTCTAAGTATGTATCTTCTTATCATGACACATGGGCCTTTGTGTCTATCCTTTCAATACTCTCAGTCAGCCTTCAAATTTTCAACAGAACTTGCATAAGCTTTGTCAAATTTATCTGTGTGTATTTGGGGTGTTATGTGCTGTTATGATGTCTTCCTTTCAAATTCAGATATTTTGTCCCTATTAAGCACATATACAAGCGATATTGTTCTCCCTCCATCCTTCTGTCCTTCAAACATGCTAACTTCATCTGCCAGCTCTCTTAGGTCCTTTGCAGTTTCTAATAGCATGTCTACCCAGATGACTACAATGTCCTAATAGACACATTTTTACTCCCTGACCCAACTGAAATGGGTTTGCTGCTATATTTCCCTGGACCGCGACCAGTAGAAGTGGTGCAAACAGTCATTATTGTCATTTTAAGATCAAAACATTCAGGTTTTCTTAATTTTTATTTATCCCTTATATTTTTGTGCATCCATACAGTAAAGCTACTCTTTGTCAGGGTGAGGAAGTACCTTCTACTATTTCTAGGTTTGGTAAGATTTAGTTAAGGGTAGTTAGGCTTTACTAAGTGTTCTCTCTCTCTCAATAACATTAACAACAACAATAATAGTCTCTGTGATTCACCACTTTAGGAGGTTAAGAAAAAAAAATCTGTACTTACTGAAGTGTAGTGATGATTTTAGACTTTTGGTTTCTTTAAAAACACAGAAATATAACAAAAATGTGCTTTTGTTTGAACCTCAGTTGTAGGGATATAGGGATGCTTTGGATTGTCCACAGGAGCTAACTATGATAGGCCTTGTAATCTAGCAGAAGCATGGTTTTGCCCGCTGCATATAGCTTCTATGATTATGTTACGTTTGGAATTCTGGGTACTTTCCAGATGATATGTAAGTGCTAGAGCCCTAATAGGAGGTTTGTGGTTGGTGGTTGTTCAGCGGGGTGAGGGGTGGAGCGGAGGTTGTTGGTCGTGGTTTGTTAGTAGTTGTGCTCAAAGAAGAAATGAAAGGATTCTCTATTATTCTCTCTCTCTTCTTTCTCTCCCTTTCTCTCCTCTTCTATATTGTGATGGGACATGATATCGGGGGATAAAGGATGGGGAAAAAGAACGCACAATTTAACAAATGTCCAGGTACACTGAGGTGTGCTGCTCAGTAACTCACCAGGAGCAAGTGAGAATGCCCTCTCCTCTAGTACCTTTCAAGGTGACTGGAAAGCACACTGAAGTTTGAGAAAAAATTATTTAAATTAGAGAGGAGAGAGGGAGGAACAGAGGAGAGAAAGAGATGGAAGGAGGATGAGAATGAATGTGCTCGTTTGGGGTATTACAATAGAATGTTGGAATACCTTCTCTGGAGAGACTTCTTTTTCCTTAAGACTTGTGAAATATCTGAGAGTAAGAGACATGTCAGTGGGTCAGATGTTTGAGTAACTTGAAGATGAATGAACCTGGATATGTGAGCTAGTGAGCTGATGACATTGTCAGGACTTGATGCCCATGTAAGAAACCAGATTTTCAGACTTCATCTCTTACAAAATATCTGCACAATAACATAATCTTCTAGGAAAGCTATGAGGTATTCAGGGAGGTGCTATGAAGGTTGCAGATTTCTTGAATTTACATGTTAATGTGTTGCAAATGATGAATGAAAAATACCTGGAAACAGTTGAAGAGAGTTTTTGAGAGCGGGTCAGTAATTGTAATAATCGCATGGGTCAATAACTGTAATAATTGTCAATAATTACACGGTGTTTGTGCTGTTGAAAGAGAGAAATGAAAATTAACAAAAAGTGTTAATTTGCAAAGAGACAGTTCAAGATCTATGGATCCAATGCTCTTGATAAGATGGAAAAATTATTTTAGAGAGCATATCTTCAAAAAGGATTTGAATATAAGTTGTGGTAATTGAAAATGAAGTGTTTGGTTTTGAATTGGTATGTTCTGCGATGCCAAGAGACAAGCTACCACATTGGTATAGAGGCTGATGACAGAACATAGGCACCAGGATGTCTACAGACATGGTGAACGTGATTTTTACATAAATACTGGACATCTTTTTCATGAATAATGTCAATATAAGAGCAATAGAAAGACGAATATTGGATAGATCTCCAAAGAACAAACCAGAATCAGACAACACAGAAATGTGAGCATCACGGAATATAAACTCAAAGTTGTTGCTGGCCCCAGAAAATACAGAGAGACATTCACATTCTATCTCTTTAATTACAGCCCCACCACAGATTTCAAAACATATGCTCCTACAACATTCAGAAGTCATAGAATTCATTTATATTTATCAAGTTGTTATATGTATGAGAGAATATGTATGTGTCCGTACAGTCATCAAAAGGGAAAAAAAAATAAAAGTAGCAGCCAGTTACTGTATAGATTTCTACAAAGAAACTGAAACATAATATCTTCCTCATGTTTTTCTCCTATTCATAACAGGAATAACAACTACAAATGTTGGCTTTGAAAGGCTGCTTCCAGCTCAGAAGTGTGAGATGGAGATCGCATCTTTTGTTCCCCACTAGCATGCATTCTAATTCTGTTTCTCAACTTTACAGAGAGTGAAGACATTTATCAAAGGCAGGTGCTGTCAATTTCATGCATCATCTTTGGAATTGTCATCGTGGGCATGTTCTGTGCAGCATTCTACTTCAAAAGCAAGTAAGACCATTTCTTTGGTGATTAAAGGGTCCTTCTGAAACAAAGCTTTTTTTCTTTATATTCTCACTTTAAGCTCCAGGCAGAGGGATCCTTTGCATTTTGTTCCAGCAGTGATCTGCAGAGAATTTGAGCCTTCTGTGAACCAAAATGAATGTACACAGGCAGTTGTGTTGGAGGTCCTCGGTGTGGAGGAGGTCCTCATAAACTCTTTGTGGGGAAGTCAGATACACACAGGGATTGTCTGCATTAAAGGCTCAGTGACTGGCACTGAAGGACGAACTCTTCTCAGTGTGAACTGGGGTGGGGGTGGGAGACCCTGTGCTGTGAACCTCAACCTCACCAACTGTTATCAGTAGAAAAGAGTTTTCCAGGAAGAAAAACAACTACATAAAAGTATCAGTTTACTTTCAAGCAGTCTTTGCCTTGTATTCTTAAATTTTCAGCCACATTTAATGAAAGAACACCAAAAGTAAGGGGGGTGGGGCACATTGTTTCACAGTTTGGGATATTGCACTTGAATATTTTGTGAATTTCACTTGCCAAGAAACTATCTGCAAATGAAGGGACTTATGGTAATTCATAACGTAGAATTAAAAGCACATTAGAGACATGTAAATGTGTTCATAACTCTGCTTTTTTTTTTATAAACGAGCATGTATGGAATTATTTATGGAAATGATGTCATCTGCACTTAAAATAGCAATTGCGGATCAAAGTGTTAGTCGATTGGATTCTTGACACCTAAGCCATTAGCTCCAGTTTCATGCCTGTGGCCTATCTAAAATCATGGCCTCCGTATAATTATAATTGCTTTTCTTTAGACCCTTGTTTCGCTGTCCATTTTCTCTTTCAAAAATGAACCACTTCACAAATAAATTTCATAATACCTGTCTGTGGATCACACATATCAATTTTTTAAAAGGAGCTACATTTAGGACTTTAAATAAAATAAAAAAATTGGGACATGAATACAGGATTAGTATTTCAGCGAAGTTTTAAAAATGCTTTTACAATTTCAGAATGAATATAATAAGAGTACAGAAAATTCTCATGCACTCCAGGCCAAGTGCCCTGTTATTAGAGTCTTGTGTTAGCATGGTATTCTTGTCACAACAATGTTCCATAATTTTACTATATAACTGAAGTCCATACTTTCAGCCTTCCTTAGTGTTTGACATAACTTCTTACTTGGGCCCTTATCCAGATGCCACGTTACATTTCCTACCGCATCTCTGAAACTACTGTCTGTGACAATGGTGATTTCCACAGATGTGCCCAGCACATTGGGCTCTGTAGTGACTAACCTCTGCCCTGCAGCATTCCAAGTTGTGTTTTTACTGCATTTTTCATGTATTAGTCTACTATATTATATATATTTTCAGCTTTGGAAATAGCAGTTCTAACAGGATCCTCAGGCTCTTTTTATTGCTCTCCAAATGAGTTCATTGGAGCATCCATTTCATGTACTGAGATATAACCCCTAGCTAGAGAGAACTGGGACTTAGCCCAAAGCTCCATGCCTACAGTCATTTATATTGTGTTTCCCATAACCACTCATATATTGCTGCTCCAATCTTGTCTCCCTACTCTTGCTACACTTGGCAGTGCATGCCCTCATCACATAGTATCTCACCAACTGTTGCCAGGACACAATACCGAAAAATGCTCTCAATCAACCTGCTTTGAGATAACCCACCTTTGATAGGATTTTAAAGTGATGCTCTAAAGATGAAACCAAGGTCTTAATTGGTTTTAGAACCAAGCCAGCTTCAGAGCTCCTCCTGGGGCTTGTTGACATATTTACTGAACCACAATCAAGTTTCTCCCATGCCACAATCCCCATTTCTTCACTTACAAAGGTGGTGATACCACACACTCCAAATAAAATTCCTGAATACTATCCCTAAGCCAAGGTCTGCTTCCTCAGAAACTCAGCCTGTGACACTGGAAATGATAAGTGACAACTGGACTGAAGCATCTACAGTTCCAACACATCCCTTTCTAAGGCATTGAGCCAGAGATACCTGTAATTCAGTAGTCTGCTTAATCTGGGTCCTAATTTTATAGAGCTGGTGGCATTCCAGAGTGCGGAGTACAGACCTTGTTCTCAAGGTTGTTCTCAAGGGCAGAAAGTAAAACATTCAGCTGTTGATCATTTCCTCTGTTCCCATTTGCTAATGGGAGAAGGAAATGAAAGAAAGAAAGAAAGAAAGAAAGAAAGAAAGAAAGAAAGAAAGAAAGAAAGAAAGAAAGAAAGAAAGAAAG